AGGCTAACTTATTCTACGATAATTCTATGGTGAATTGTCTCCCCCACTCTCGAAACTGTTTTGGCTTATAATTTGTAGATATGTGCGTGGTACCATGTCACAGTACGGCGTTCCCGTACCGGTTGTTAACTTGACAAAGAACATTCAAAAGAAGATGAAAGAGCGCGAGGAAGAAAAGGCCGCTTCCGGCGGTGGGGACATCTTCTTCATGCGCACACCCAGCGACCTCACTGGCTGTGATGGCGAAATTGTCCTGTTTGAGTACTCTGAAGAGTACCCACCGTTAATGATGCAGGCAAGTTTTCTACTGGGAAAAGGGAAATTTAAATACTCACTTTTAATATCGATTAGTAGGGTCCTTTCGTTCAGGTAGCAAGTAAATTCGTTTAATCAAGATCTCGCCGCTACTGAATAATCTGCAGTTTCTTTTCGTATTCGTCCCTGTCAGCTCACGCGGAAGTGAACATGCAACATCTTGCATTTTATTTTCAGATTATCCATTTTTCTAATGATTTTTTAAGACCGCCTGACAATTCTGACCAGGTGAAGGAACTTAGGTTCGCAACTTGGTTAACCAAAACCATTGCCCACGTGACTGATTTTCTATAGTTTATCTACCTTTTGGTTCGTTAACTGGGAAACCGATTTGCGGAAATTATTCTGTTTTGATCCCGAAAATTCTGTTCTTTCTGTGTTACGGGCGTTCCAATGGCGCTGACTAACTAAGCTGGACTGTGCTATCGCCCTGCCAGCGTCAAGCTACGGTGGCCATAAAATATTGACCTTGTGGTCGAAAGAAGTCGCCAAATCGGTCGGCTTATCCATCTTCGATGCGAAGATCAAGTGTTTTCAAAGGTGCACCCCTGATCAAGAAAGCGAGCATCCCCCGGAATAGGAGACAATTCAGAATACCTCGGTACGAGGATTACGTCATGGTTCCAATAGATGTTTATCTCAGGGGTGTCATTTCCAAACCTTGAAACGTGTACGATATGGTCCTGTCGTGATATCTCCTGTCACCATAATCATCCGCATTTACCAACCATCCGTCCTGTCAGTCCTCCTCTATAATTGTGAATGCTAGACTGCGCGCCGAAATTAAGGGGTTTGAGCACCATTGTCTGGGGACCATTCCTCCAGTTTAGAACACTGACTTTTCATATCGAACAGTTCTCAGTTGCAGCGACACTATCAGAAAAATATCTAAGGCCCTCCAAATGGACTATGGAGGTCATTTGATCACTTTTTTCATTACCTTCCCAATGAAGTCGGCATGTTTGTGCTGTTTACTTGGAGGTGTCAAAAGATAGGCCAGTGTAGAACCAGGCCTAAACTAGAGGTTGTTTCGGAACATACGCCGTTGGAGAAGAGAACGAGCCAAGAATTCCAATTCGTTGATGTATATTATTATGTAAAG